CCTTAGCTGTTTACTCAGTTGACCCAAGGAGCTCTCAAGGTATCAAGAATTCTGGAGAAGGTTACCTGCTTCAGCATCATTGCTACTGAAAAGCAGACCTGATCCAGACCCCAAGAAAAGGTTCTTAAACCTCATGAAGGGAAGAATTTGAGGGGAGTACATAGAATAAAGTTAAAACAAATTTATTAAGAAAGTAAAGTAATAAAAGAATGTCTACTACATAGGCAGAGCAGAGGCATGGGCTGCTCGACTGAGTACTCTTCTAGTTATTTCTTGATTTTATGCTAAACAAAAATCATGAGCTTTCAGGGAAAGCGGCAGGGATTTCATAGAAATGAGGTTTCCTTCCCCTTTTAGACTATATAGGGTAACTTTCTGACATTGCCATGGCATTTGTAAACTTTTATGGTGTTGGTGGGCGTGTCTTTTAGCATGCTAATGCATTGCAATTAGCACATAATGAGCAGTGAGGATCACTGTGTCACCATCTTAGTTTTGGTGAGATCACTTGTGTTGCCATCTTGGTTTTGCTGGGTTTTGGCTGGCTTCTTTACCACATCCTGTTTTATAAGCAGGGTCTCTGTAACCTGCACCTTGTGCTGACCTCCCATTTCCTCCTGTGAGTAAGAATGTTTTAACCCCTTGGGAATTGCAGCCCAGCAGGTCTCAGCCTCATTTTCTCCAGCAGCTATTCAAGATGGAATTGATCTAGTTCAAACATTTCTGACACCATGGCATCTGGCAAAGAACGGAGGTCAGGGGTGACCACTACCTCCTTCAGGTGGAATATACCAGAAATCCTATAGGTGTCCTGCTGGTACAATTTCTGTAATAGCAAAAGGGCCTGGGTGGCCATCTGTTCTCCTTGTGGGATACTGTTTCTCTGACAAAAGCAAATGAGCAGTTCAGTACAGAGAGACACAGGCTCAGGATATCAGAAGCTCTGCATTCAGGAAAGCCCAGTATACATCCAGCAATTACTGCTGTAATGACATATAACATGGGGCTAAGAAAGAAAGTTTCTTGCATCAGAATACCATAAACAATTATAGTAATTATGGCTGGCTCCAAGAGGCATGAGAGGAATTTACAAGAATAGGTTAACTAATTTAACTGGTGTGAAGGGGCAGGGACATTTAGTCTGTTTTCTCAAGCCATTTGTAAGTGCCAATGGCTTAATTTTTATTACTTGTTAATTGCTTGAGAGCATCCATGCTCACTAGTGATATTTCAGGGTATGAAAATAGGAAAGTTAGGCAAAGCAATAGCTCAGAGGATAAAGTGAAGCATAACTGTCTTTTATTTTATATTTGGCAATTAATCTAAAATTATAAGGGGTATCTTATTTATATTTAGAAATATTCCCAGGCATAAATGTAATATGAGACTCTGTATTGATTAAGGCCATGGAGGTTTGCTAGTTGGTACATCTCAGTAGATGTTAATGTTGATTCAGAACTTATATTGTAGAGGGCTGGGCACAGTAGCTCATGCCTGTAATCCCAGCACTTTGGGAGGATGAGACGGGTGGATCACCTGAGATTAGGAAATCCAGACCAGCCTGGATAACATGGTGAAACCTTGTATTTACTAAAAATATAAAAATTATCCCGGTGTGGTGGCAGGCACCTATAATCTCCCCCTCACCCCGCCCCGAGGATATAAATTAACAATTGGTACAGGACAAGACTAGAAATTATCCCTCTGCACACTCCAAAACAAATGCATATTTGACTTCTTCAATACTCAGATACTCGGGAGGCTGAGGCACAAGGGAATCGCTTGAACGCAGCAGGCAGGGGCTGCAGTGAGCCAATATCACACCACTGTACTCCAGCCTGGGTGACATAGCGAGACAGTGTATCAAAAAACAAACAAACAAACAAAAAGAACTTATATTCTAGAGGTGTGTAAACCAAAAAAGTGCCTGAGACAGGTCTCAATCAATTTAGAAATTTATTTTGCCAAAGTTGAGAAAGCACATGGAGAAAAGTTCTTACTGTCGAGTCACTGTTAGATCTGTGGTCCACACTCTTTCCAAAGTGGAAAAAGTGAACATAAAATAGAGAAAGAAGTCAAGCATGCAAGCATGTATTTGTTTTGGAGTGGGGACAGGAATGATTTCTAGTCTTGTCCTGTACCAGTTATTAATTTACATCCTCAGGGTAATGGAGGCCACCTGGGGAGATATGTGGCATTTTATTTTACAGCTATTTGTTTGGAAGAAAGAGAAAGGCAGTTTTTTTGCATGACAATTTCCAAGCTTGACTTTTTTCTTTGGCATAGTAGGTTTGGCATTACAGTCACAAGATATTATCACCCTTTCACAGGTGCAAAGTCTATTTAGTGCTCTTTTATCTTTTTATTATAAAAATCATTTTAGTAAATGTACAATATCCAATTGGGTCAAATTATGAAAAGGTTTTCTTTAGACATTTTGTTTGTTTTTTCCTTACCTAGTGTCCAGAGTCCATCTGTCCTTCCTCCCTCCCTCCCACTTTCTTTTCCTTTCCTTTTCCTCTTTTTCTTTCTTCTTTTCCTTTTTTCTTTTCTTTTCTTTCCTTTCCTTTCCTTTTCTTTCTTTCTCTCTCTCTCTCTCTCTCTCTCTCTCTCCCTCCCTCCCTCCCTCCCTTCCTTCGTTACCAGATATACTTTGAGTGGACAGTCCTCACTTCCCTGTTTATGTTTATAGGTTTCTTCCTCCAAAGAGTCACAGATTAGTATCATCAAGGTTAGGGACCTTTCCCGTGGCCATTATTACTTTACTGGTTTAAGAATCCTAAGCTTAAATCAAGCTTGTGGATTTTTCTCTGTAATGGTGAGGATCTAGATCTTAGTTGCAATATAGATATACGTAGTAGCATCAGCAAAGGCATTTCATAGGATCCTGGTGAGCCCTCTACCTTTAGAAGTGTGACCTCTGTGACCTCTGCATGCCGTGTGATGACTACTCTTCCTCCACACAAGCTACCGCCCATTCATCTTATATGTTTTACAAGGTATTATTAGTCTTGCCCTTGAAACTCTGTAGATTGGAGTCAATGCTAGGTTGATACATAAAACCAGCAGTCACAGGGTAAAAGTTGTTCTACTGAGCATAGTGTCGGACAGAGCTTATGTTAGAATTCAGATTAATGATTCAATGTAAAATACACAGATACATTTGGAGTGAGACACACAACCCAATGCTACTTTAAAGAAGGCCCCAGTTGCATATTTCTGTTCATAAGTGTTTAAAACTTTTGACACAAATTGACTAAATTTCTAAAAGAGGTTCCATAATACTCAGAAAATGCAGCACAGGAAAAAGCACAAGTTTGTCAGTAGGTAACATATCAAAGCACATGCTAACCATCAGGCAGCAGAGTCAGAAAGCCAAAGCTGAGGAAGAAAGACCTCCAATGGTGGTGGTGATCACACCCACACACCCTGCTCATTGTGTCAATTGCTGTGGCTATCCATAGATGTGGCATGAGCCGCTCTACCCATAATTTGGCTTAAATGTTAGGACTGATGATATCATATGCAAACAAAGACGGTGTCAGGGGTTTATTAATTACATACTGAGGCTTTCTGGGTAGAGCAGACTATGCTCTCAGGCTGGTCCCAAACTGGCTTGGAAGAGAGAGAATAAAAAAAGACAGTTGGGTTAGGGTTGCATCATGGTTAGGTGAGGGTTCCCACAGCATGGCTGTTTATGTGGTTTGAACTTCTCTATGGTGCCAAAGAAGGGAGCACCAGTAACTTCTTACCCAGTTTGTCCAGATGTGGGACAGAAGTGAAGAGGAAAGTGCAGCTTGAAAGTTGTCAACTATCCAATATCAAAAATTGATTGTTTATTAAATCTTTTTCCCTATCTCTTCAATCCACTTACCATGTCTTAGATTATTTATATGGATGTGGGGCAGAGTAGAGAAAACTTTAACCTGCTCACATTATTGATTGAAAAAGAAAAACACTATAATTAGAAAAGAAGACCTAAAATTGAATGACTAAATCCTAAGGCTAAGTGTTCTTACTTTTATGTAACAACATATTTCTTTCTCACATTAGTAAAGTGGGAATGGATGCCTTAAATGGTCACACAGTTGGAAGAGAGCAGAAATGCGTTTGAGGTAGGCAGTGGTGTTTGTGTAACTACAAATCACTTCTTTCCCCATTACTCTATGATACTTCTCATTTCAGTATTTTCCCCCACGTGGTTCTCAGTTACAAAAATCAAATGGACAGAATAATTAAATACAGATTGCATCTCAGACGATTTTTTTAATGTAGTCTATGTATATATGTATATCTAACTAGCTAGCTGTATTTTCTAAGAATCTTAATGTTCAGAATTCCTGGACTCAGTTTGTAAATGTTAGTATATTTTATTTGTGCCTTAAGGAAGAGAAACCAGCATCTTATTGAACAAACTTTAGTCACTGGATAATTATCTGTGTTTAGTCTCATAAGATTTTTTTCCCTTGGGATTCAATAACTTATTTTGTTAGATTGTATAGCTCTTTTGGTGTAATCACACTAAAATAGATTTTCTGTCACAGTGAAGGAGGAAAATGGAGCTAAATATTAATATTAGTTATTTACTTTTCTAATTTCTTGGTAAGGACCCTGTATGTTATGACTTTGAATGTTTTATACAAGTTTAATAATTATTTCTTGTATTTCAGCTTTTCAGATGGTCAAACTAAAATTTAATATTGCAAAAATTCTATTTGGCTTAGAATAACAAAAGTTATTTCATATTTCTTCAACCTCACAGTTTTGACTTTTTCTCATATAAATAACTTAAAGACGAAAATTGACTATGCACCAAAACAAGTCCATTTGTGGCTTAATATGTGATTCAGTAACAATGTACTGAAACTATAAGTGAAAAAATTTTAAAACTATTCTCTTTCTCTGTGTCCCCACTCAAATCTCATGTCAAATTGTAATCCTTAGTGTCAGAGCTGGGGCATGGTGGGAAGTGATTGGATCACGGGGGCAGTTACTAATAGTTTAATATCATCCCTCTAGTGCTGTCTCCTAATAGAGTTATCATGAGATCTGGTTGTTTAAAAGTGTGTGGCACCTCACCTCTCTTTCTCCCTTGCTCTTGATCCAGCCGTGTAAGACGTGCCTGCTTCCCCTTTGCCTTCTGCCATCATTGTAAGTTTCCTGGGGCCTCCCTAGAAGCCAAGCAGAAGGCCAGCATCATGCTTCCTGTACAGCCTGTGGAACCGTGAGCCAATTATTTATGTGGCTGCAGGTATTTATAAAGAAAATGTTTTCTTTTCTTTATAAATTACTCAGTTTCAGGCATTTCTTTATAGCAGTGTGAGAATAGACTAATTTAGTAACCTTTGGGGTTATTAAGAGCATGACAGGCCAGGCACAGTGGTTCACACCTGTAATCCCCGTACTTTGGGAATCTGAGGTGGGCAGATCACTTAAGGTCAGAAGTTTGAGACCAGCATGGCCAACATGGTGAAACCCTATCTCTACTAAAAATATAAACATTAGCTGGGTGTGGTGGCATGCACATGTAATCCTATCTACTCAGGAGACTGAGGCAGAGTAATTGCTTCAACCCAGGAGGAAGAGGTTTCAGTGAGCTGAAATCACATCACTGCACTCCAGCCTGGGTGACAGGGCAAGACTCCATCTCAGGAAAAGAAAAGAAAAGAAAAAAAAAAGAGGATGACATTCTGGAGGAACAAAGCAAAGATCATAACCTTAGAAATATTGTTAGTCTCCATAGTATTTATATAAAAAAAGATGGGAGATGACAGACACAGGGAAGCTTTGCCAACAGCTGATGTTACTTACCTATTCATTGCAGAGACTCAATGTTAAGATAGTTTTGAAAGCCATTCTATAACATGGCACAATGGAATCTGTCCACCTACTAAACGGCTGCCCTTTATATCTTTTAATCATTGACCATATTTTAAACTGAGAAATGCTCTTTTAACTATACATTCTTAACATTTTTCCTTGACTGCTGACATGCTTTTGTTCTGGAATTCATTAAGACTTCAATTTATGTTTTTGCTCACTAGCATTAGAATCACTTTAGACAACACCTTGGGAGATACTAGGAAGGGAGATAGCACACAGATAAGTAAGAGCTATCTATGTCCTGCAGTGTTGCCTTTGAGAGTTGATAGTCAAGTAAGAGGTAAAGCCACTAGGGAAACACTCTTGGAAACACTATGCATAAACAATGTGATACATTCTATGGTGAAGGGGCATGGATTAAAGACTGCAGAAGGAAAGGAGGTAGTGACGGAGGTAAAGAACAGCCTTGCTGATAAAAATGACATTTATCCAGTCTGAAATTTTTCAAGATTTCTAATGTTATAATCTTTGTCCCTCCAGGGTCTTACCTATCCTGGTATATTCTAAGCTTCTTCAGTATAGGGATTTAGGGATTCCTATACTATTTTGCCATTGTACAGCCTACAACTGTGTGTGTGCATGTGTATGTGCGTGTGTATGCTTATGTGAGTGTGTGGAATAATATTTTACAGTTTAATGTAACCCATAGAAAATACAGGTAGTATTATTTATCGTAATAAATAAAGGTGACAAAATAATATTCAATTACATTAAATTTGGGCCTTTTAGTTTTTTTGTAAAAGAACTACTTTTTGACACTTTCCCAAGTTCAAACAAAATTACTCACATTATAAAGATGGAAAAAAATAAAATAAAACACTCTCCATATTGACATTCATAGCCCCAAGGGTTTTCTCAAATATATATTATATAGTAATTAATTGGCTACTGTAAGGTGCCATTTTATGTTTAAAACTCCTGCTTTCATCTCACTTGATCATACTTTCAAACCTTTTCTCACCACACATTTTATACATCCCTGAGGTTAGAGATTTATGTATTAGAGAATCAGAAAAACCGCCCCCAGAAAGCTATTGAATTCAGATATTCTGTTCTTTGAGGATACCCTGTGTTTCTGTTGTTTTATGATTTTGTCTCATAGCTATGCTAGCATCACTCCTACCAGGTCCCAGCTCTCTTTCTTACTCTGCATTTGAAGAATATGAACTTATCAATTGGAATCTGCATTATTCATGATTTTCCAGAGAAACACTACATATGTTGTATGTGTGCATATATATACACACACTCATGTATCTATATATGCTATGCATGTAAGTATATACACATTATGAAGAATAATCTGCTTCTGCATTACACAGATTCTACTGTGTGTAAATATTAATCACATCTAAAACTATCTTCACAGCAACAACTAGACAAGGATCTGACCAAACACTGGGCACCATAGCCTAGTCAGGATGATATGTAATATTAACCTTCACGGAATCCATTACATACACAAAACCCAATAAAATAATTTTTTCAGGTTGTGCTTTAATAGCCAAATCCAGATGTGTTTCCACAGAGAAAGCGATATAACACAAACACGTTAACTCTATTAAAGGGACCAGTGTAATGTTAAAACAAAATTCTGATATCTGTAAAGAAATAAAGGTAACATATGTTTTATCAGTCAGGTCTGTCAAAGTGTCTATAAAATTAAATTTACTTCTCTTTAGAAAAATATTCCAGTTTTGTTATTAGGACAGAACAAAAACTATAAGAAACAGGTTGTTAGAGACCTGGATCATAGGCAAATTCTGGAGGCAAGAGAGCCAAAATCAAAGTGTCATCAAAGACATGCTGCTTCTAAAGCCTATAGAGGAGAATCCTCTCATCATCATCATTATTATTATTCTCCCATTATGTGTTTATATGTCTTCTCTTCTGACAGTAGGCATATTGGATTAAGAGGCCACCCTATCTAGTATAACCTCATTAAAATTAACTTATAACATCTGCAATGATCATAGTTTCAAATAAGGTCACATTCTGATACACACACACACACACACACACACACACACACACATAATGCATTCATACATATACACAGAATATACCACAAGATATGTATTGATGTCCTAATCTCAAAGAAAGTCACATTGTGATATATGTACCAGATACATATCAGTTGTATATATGCATGTGTGAGTGTAAGCATATATACACACTATATATCACTATATACATAATACATATGCACATACATACATAATGCATACATACATATATAGTGTGTATATATGTATGTATATATATATACATACATATATACACACTATATATGTATGTATGCATTATGTATTTATGTATGTATGTATGTATGCATTATGTATGTGTATATATTATGTATACAGAGAGTGGTGTATAGTGTGTATATATGCTTACACACACATACATATACACATGTGATATGTATCTGGTATGTATGTCACCATATGACCTTTGAGGTTGTAACATCAATACATATCTTGTGGGACACAATTCAGCCCATAACACTTGTCTTTGTTGAATATCTCTCTAGGTCTCAATTTTATCATCCATATAAGCAAAATAATTTATCAGGTAACTTCCAGTAATACCATTCTACAAATTTTAGTTTTATAAATTTTATCACTTTTTAAAAATTTAACAAATATTCATGAAAATTATAATATCCAAAATACTCAGAATATAAAATTAAATAATAGTTCTCACAGGGTCTTCCCGTTCAGAGTGCAAGCTGAAAAATATATTGTAGTATCACACCTTCTAATGTGTATCAGGTACATTGCTGGGTCAAGTGAGAACAATAGAATGCTTTTTAGAGGAGAGGAGTTCTTCTGAAAAATGAATAGGAGTCTGTGATTGAAGAAAGCAAGCACTAATATTTAAGCACAAGCAAGAACTGAGACAGTGTTTTCAAAGGCATGAAGGTGCAAGAGAATATTTAGGACTCATTGAATATCTGGTAGCTTTATATTCACAAGAGCCTCAGCTACCAGAAGAGAACTTGAAGAAAATGAGACTAGAGAGATAGATTTGGCAAAATTATAGAGAAAAATAAATATAATCCTAAGGAATATTAACTGTGTCTTATAACGATGGTGAACTTAATGACTGGCATTTAACTAGAAGAGCATGTTCATACACTATATGTTCTTGAAATTTATTCTGGCATTAGAGTAGAATATGAGATACATTAAGTCATTGTGGAAACAGAAAGACCAAGTAAACAGCAAATGATATCATTCAGTGAAAACAAACAAACAAACAATGACAACAACCAAAAATGTAAGGGCCTAAGTATGGCTATGGCTGAGAATTTGAGTAAGGCAGTAGATGTGGGAGATACACAGTTGCCATAATTTGGTAATAAATTAAATTTGAAGGAGGCAGATGCTGATGGAAAGAAGCTAAGGATATGTCAAGGTATCTGGTTAACTTTATAGTGGCTTATTTCACTGAAATTGGAAATACTGGAAAAAATGGAAGCTGAAAAGCAAAGTTGAGAAGTATACTTTTGTGAATAATGAGCTGGAAGCAATTTAGGACATCCAAACAGAAATGTGCCATGTACAGTTGGATATGTACAGCAACCATAGTGGGTAGAAGCTACTTGACTGAGCTTGACAAAGCTCTTCTCACTGTCTATGGGTTTCTATTTCTGATTGGTATAAAAGAGGAGGCTTCTCTTTTGAAAAGGAACTGAAGACTCAACTTCCTTGTGTTCCAAATTATACTTGGACTGTTGAGCAGGGCTGGGCAATGAGACACTTATAAAACATTTTATCATGTGTGTAGGAAATGAGATAGCTAGAGGGGTGGCTTGTATACTATGGGTATGAATGAACAGAATGCACTGGCTCTAGCCCTATAAAATCACTGATATAAATGACAAATCTACATATGGGATATAAGTCTATACATGGAATAACTGAATCAATGGATGGGATGACATTGCATACAAACACACACACACACACACACATACGTAGGTTAAAATGGGGAAAAGTGAATAAGATCTATAGCTTAGTTAATGGGCATATGCCAATGTCAATTTATTGGTTTTAATGTTATACTACAACCACATAATTTGTCACATTGGGGAAAATTAGGTGAAGATATATGGGACTCCTGTACTTATTTTGTAACTTTCTTTGAATTTATATTTATTTCAAAGTAAAAAATTAAAAGAGAGTAATTTTTCTTTCTGCACCCCTTCACTATCCTTCACTGATGACCAGTTTGATTGTCTGGCTCAGCAGCAGAGGTTATGACTTGGTCACTGGGTTTTACCCAGAGGAGAAGACAGGTTGCTGCATATTTTTTCAAAATGTCTAGGTGTCATTAAGTCACAATTGCAAGATCTAGTTGCAGCAATGTTGGAGATCAAATCTCTGTGATGACAGGGGCAAGTGGCTGCTTCAGAGTCCTATAGTACTGAAACTTTAAATGAAGTTCACCTAGCAAGTTATAGTAGTTAAAGCAGGATTAGGGTTATAACTGTGGTTTCCTTGTGGCTTTCTCCTTCTCTACTTTCCTTGCTTCTCTTTAGTCATGTACAGTGTAGATTATATGAAATAAAAATCGCTAAACTAACAGTAAAATTCAAGCTGGGAACTGCATAGGGTAAACCTGCTTTTCATTCTATTCCAGGTTATTACTCTGTTCACTGAGATTAATGCATATCTGATTGCCTCCTTTGGAAAGGCTAATCAGAAACTCAAAAGAATGCAACAGTTTCCTCTCAGCTATCTGGAACCTGGAAGTCCCCTCCCTGCTTCCAGCTTCTAGTCTTTCTGCCTTTGCTTTGAGTTGTCCTACCTTTCCAGTTCAAACCAACGTACTTCTTACATATATTGATTGATGTCTCATGTCTCCCTAAAATGTATAAAGCCAAACTGTGCTCTGACCACCTTGGGCACATGTTGTCAGGACTTCCTGAGGCTGTGTCATGGGCTTGCATTCTCAACCTTGGCAAAATAAACTTTCTAATTTAATTGAGACCCATCTCAGATTTTCTGGGTCCACAATCAGCAATGTGTTTTAACCCTTAATTGTGTTTCAAGATGAAATCATAATGTTTGGTGTATAAGGTGCAGGCATGTGAATGTCCAGTTTATGGATAGAAAATGGTAGTACAGGAACAACCTATCCACCAGGCTAGGGGTTGTAGACATCTCTGAGTTCTTGACACATCAGCAGAGAGCAAGAACAAGTGAGACAAATTCTAAGACACGAATAAATATTGCTGGGCAATCTTAGAGACACAAGAAAGCTGAAAGGAGGGAATCTAGGTAAATAGGGACTTCCTGTTAACTTGGCAGCTATGGCTTCAGAGTTGTGATTACTTCCAGATTAAATGGAAAAGAAACTCTGTTTATATTTCAAACTAAAATAAAAATAGGTTATACATGTTACAGAGATGCAGGTTTTGAAGTGGTAATTTATGCCTTTTCTAGTCATATTTAAAGAAGAGAGTTACTAGAGATGTAAGCTACCTGAAATTAAGACTGCTTTTATTTCGTTATATAATCATAGTACAACTGTTGTTTAAATCTGGGAAAGTTACGTAATCTTTCTATTCCTTAACTTTCCAATTTGTAATGGTGATTACAGTTGCTAATGGTTGCACAGAGAATCAAATGAGTTAGCCTATGACAACACTTGGACCATGTACTTAGAAAGCATTATCTTTGTGATTAATGTTTGCTGGTAGTTTCCAGAAAGATGCCTTGCATACATAAAAAGGATATTTGGAATTGCATTTATGTAACTATTCTGTAAAATCATATCATGTAAATGCTTATTTCAGTATGTAGTACTCCTACTCTGCAAAAATTCTGTAGTTATTTTTGCTGACATTAGAGCCTTTAATGTTGTAAAATTACATGAATAATCACAGATTTCAAAGGTGTCACTCACAAATAGCAATTTAATGACAACACTGTACTGTTACAATTCCTTAAATATTTGTTAGAGAGTGATTCATCTATATTTTGTGAAGGAAGTCTAATTTTCCAAGAGGATACTGACCTTGTAAGAATCTATGAAACGTAGACCAACTCACAGCATTTTTAATTGATTCACTTACTCCTAAGGTCTATTGATTGTAAAATGTATGGTAATGTTTCATACATGCTTTCATTCATGACTTAAACTAAACAGAAAGCAAATAATAATAACATAGGAAAAACATAACAGTATAAAAGATTTGAATTACAAAAAATAAAGAAGGCAGCATGCATGGTCAACTTACCTGAAAGAAATATAAGAAATATGTTCTATAAAAGCAATCCCCAGCATTTTTGCACTGGAGTCCAGTTTTGTGGAAGACAATTTTTCCAGGAACAGTGATGGGAGTGGATGGGGTGGGAGATGGTTTTGGGATAAAACTGTTCCACTTCAGATATCAGGCATTAGATCATCCTAAGGGGCCCATAATCTGGATCCCTCACATGTGCTGTTCACAAAAGGGTTCTTGCTTCTATGAGAATGGAATGCCCAGTTGATCTGACAGGAGGCAGAGCACAAGCAGTAATGCTTGCCTGCCCGCAGCTCACCTTCTGTGTGGCCTGGTTCCTCACAGTCTGGGACCGGTACCAGTGCATGGCCCAGGGTTGAGAAACCTTGTAAAGTATGAGTAATAAACCCAATCAACATTTATAAAATTTAATCACAAAAATATTTTAAAACTTTTTTGAAAAATATGTGTATTTAAATTAAAATTAAGCTTACACAAGACTAGATTATCATTTATCAATTTCTGTATCGACACTTTTAGTGAAAAAAGTTCTTACTCCTACTCAAACAATCTCACATTGGTTTTACATTCTACAGTTTAAATTGATAAATAGTATGAGGAGAATGACTCTCTCTGCTGATGTGTAATGTTTAGACCTACTTTATTTTTGGTAATTTCTGAAAAAAATTTAGTGATTATGTATTTTGTTTCTAACAATTATTGAAAATAATACCACATTGTCTTGGTAATTGTTACTTGATAATAGAGTTTAATATTGTGTCCTGAGACTTTGCTGAAGTTGCTTATCAGCTTAAGGAGATTTGGGGATGAGAAGACAGAGTCTTTTAAATATACAATCATGTCACAGGCATTCGTATACACCAGTAATAGACAGAGAGTCAAATCATAAGTGAACTTCCATTCACAATTGCAACAAAGAGAATAAAATGCCTAGGAATACAACTAACAAGAGTTGTGAAGAACCTCTTCAAGGAGAAGTACAAACCACTGCTCAAAGAAATAAGAGCGGACACAAACAGATGAAAAAACATTCTATGCTCGTGGTTGGGAAGAAGAATCAATATCATGAAAATGGCCATACTGCCCAAAGTAGTTTATAGATTCAATGCTATCCCCATCAAGCTACCATTGACTTTATTCACAGAATTGGGAACAAAAAAGCACCTTAAACTTCATATGGAACCAAAAAAGAGCCACATAGCAAAGACAACTCTAAGCAAAAAAAGAAAAAAAGCAAAGCTGGAGGCACCACATTACCTGACTTCAAACTATACTACAAGGCTACAGTAATCAAAACAGCATGATACTGGTACCAAAACAGAGATATAGACCAATGGAACAGAACGGAGGCCTCATAAATAATGCCACACATCTACAACCATCTGATCTTTGGCAAACCTGACAAAAACAAGCAAAGGGGAAAGGATTCCCTATTTAATAAATGGTGTTGGGAAAAATAGCCATATACAGAAAGCTGAAACTGGATCCCTTCCTTACACCTTATACAAAAATTAACTCCAGATGGATTAAAGATTTAAACATAAGACCTAACACCTAAAGACCCTAGAAGAAAAACTAGGCAATACTATTCAGGACATAGGCATGGGCAAGGACTATGACAAAAACATCAAAAGCAATGGCAACAGAAGCCAAAACAGACAAATGGGATCTAATTAAACTAAAGAGCTTCTGCACAACAAAAGAAACTATATCATTAGAGTGAAACGGCAACCAACAGAATGAGAAAAAGAATATTTGCAATCTACCCATCTGACAAAGGGCTAATAACAAGAATCTCCAAAGAACTTAAACAAATTTACAAGAAAAAACAAACAACCCCACAAAAAGTGGGCAAAGGACATGATCAGACTCTTCTCAAATGCATACCATTTATTTCTTTCTCTTTCCTGATTGCCCTGGCCAGAACTTCCAATACTGTGTTACATAGGTGTGGTGAGAGAGGACATCCTTGTCTTGTGCTGGTTTTCAAAGGGAATGCTTCCAGCCTTTGCCCATTCAGTATGATATTGGCTATGGGTCGTTCATAAATCCCTCTTATTATTTTGAGATACATTCCATCAATACCTAGTTTATTGAGAGTTTTTAGCATAAAGGGGTGGTGAATTTCTTTGGAGGCCTTTGCTGCATCTGCTGAAATAATCATGTGGTTTTTGTCATTGGTTGTTTATGTGATGTATTATGTTTATTGATTTGGGTAACCAGATCAACTGATCACTGAATCAACTTGGAAGCCAGCATGTTTCTAGATAATATTATAATAGAAATGCAACTTTGGGTAAAGATAGAATGTAGGGAATGGCTCACCCTTGATATATTAATATGCATTTTGCATTCATGATGTTATTTAATGTATATTTAAAATACTAATTTGATTAATAGCTGCTATAGTTTTAATGCATATGCCTTTCCAAAATTCACATGTTGGAACTTAACCCTCAAGGTGATGGTATTAAGATGTAGGTCCCTTGAGAGAAGATTAAATAGATTAATGCCCATATAATAGAGTCTTCAGGGAGTTGCCTCCCTCTTTTTCATCCTTCCATTTCTTCTGCCCTGTGAGTACAAAGTGCCAAGGCATCGTCTTTGAAGCAGAGATTGGGCCCGCATCACACATGGAATCTGCTGGCACCCTGATATTGGACTTTTAAGCTTCCAGAAATGTGAGAAATAGATTTTTGTTATTTATTAATTACTGAGTCTCAGGTATATTGATAAAGCAGCACTAATGGACTAAGACAATGGCAGAGGAACTTCTCTATGTATCTAGTTGGCATTGACTTTCTAGGAATATTTAAAGATAGACTTT